AAAGAGAAACCGATTATCGCGTTGCGGAGTCCCTCCCGTATAGGAGGAATTAGTATTCGAAGGATTTTTAGTTATTATATTAGTATAGAAGGGATTAGTGTTCGAGGGATTAGTATCCTTTGGTATCAGGGACCAAGTCTTTTGATAGAAAAGAAAAAGGAAAAGAAAAACCGATTATCGCGTCGCGGAGACCCTCTCGTGGAACGAAGCATCATGTCAAACGTGAAAACATTGCGCGCGCGCAATCTTTAGCACTCGGGGCCTAGTCTTTTGAAGAAAAAGACAAAGAAAAACCGATTATCGCAATGGCGCTTGCAAAGAGAGCTAAGCGAAACGATAGAACTTGTCTTAATTTTTGGCTCGATTTTGTGGCCCATGACTATAGTCACCCATCGCGTGCAGATAGCGCCTCGTGCCCAGTGACTGTAGTTAACCCTTTGCACTCGACGATTTTGTCGTTAGAATTATTTTATTTCGACGTTCAATCGTTATCTAATTTTAAACTTAATATATCAATTAACATGGATTTTAAGAATCCGATTAAATGACGATCGAGATTCGCCTTTGGAGTGCAAAGGGTTAACTCCAAGAGACGTAGACGTTACTCTTCTCGAGCATCTCAACGAACCGTGAACGTCTCTCTTCTCTCGGACACCTGGTGTTCTTTTCCAGAATTATCTGCCTCGTTTGATATTTATAAATACGCGTTGAGAAAGTAGAACTGGGGAATAAGAATTAATTATCTTCCTGCGAGCTTAATAAATTCTCCCCTAAAGGCTACGAAACGGATGTTTATCCGAAAGATCGGACGATATTCGAAGATCGTATACCGAACGCGTAATTAATTTCCAGCAATCCCACGCCGGAAGTGTCAGAAGAGATACCGGTGAAATGGAAGCCGGTCAGGACGCAGGCCCTCGAGTATCTGCGCATAGGGCAAGATCGCATTCAGATGTCGGAGCATCTGATCCTCGAGAGAATGAAATTCTGGGAAGGTTTGCCTATACGACCGGATTTCGACGACAACGACGTGCAGCAGCAGCGGAAAGACGAATTGTAAAAAATACTTAAAAACTGCGTTACGACTATCGCGCGTGTCGTCGAGAATCGTAAAATTTAACGCGTACCGGACGCCGCATGACGTAAATCGTATCTCCGTCCTCGACCACTACACATCGGCCAAGTGGACTTTCGAAAAGCACGCACAATGTGACCACGACCGTCCCATCAGGTCCACGCGAAAAACGCCAATTTCGCGCAGGCTGCCGCTAGCAGTTGCATCAACCAATGTGTCACGTGTCACGTGCAGCACACGATTTTAGCATTCGCAATCGCGCGGACCACGTGTACAAGGCTGACGGGAAGAACTGCGTACCTTTTAGTCACTCACCTTAACCAGTACCGGTTCACTGGAGTTCTCTTTTTATTTCTCACTGGGTAAATCACAGCGTTTTTGTTCAGTCACGAGATAATTGAACATTGGATCGTAAAATTCTCAACGAGGCAAAAATTCTCATAGATACCGAGTCGATATCGTCGAACGCATATGTAACGAGAAATAAAAAGTAACATTATACATACATGGTAAACGATTCGTCGATTTCAACGCTTCCTACTTTTCTGTTTCAACTTTCTTCCGTTTGTTCCTCGTCGAAGGTCGTTCATCCGCGATCGAAGGTCGAGGCGTGGTTGTAACCTGTGCCCGCGGTGGCGCCACTCTCACAGCCATGCAGGCCATCGAGTAATTTTCGGGATGACAGTCTTTGAAAACCTCGAATTTTCTCTTCATCAAATGCAAATCTTCGTAGGGTAGTTCGTAGACAGTCTCGAAATCCAATCTTTTGGCTGAAAACGCGAACGGCGAACAGTTTGCGGTTAATTTAAGAATCGTGATAAGGAGTGATCTCGTGGTCGGAGGAAATGAAACGAAACGCACCGATAGTCTGGGCAGCGCTGGAAGTAAATTGTCCGATGCAAGCAGTCGCGAAATTGCTCGCTCGAGCAATGCAGGAGCGTAGCAACGCGGTGCCAACGCCATTGTTCCGATGGTCCGGCTTTACGCAGAGGATGTCGATGCACAGGGATTTGTCTGCGTTCGTTGTTCCGTAAAACTGCGACTTCACTGTGGCGTAGTTCCTCAGCATCATTATCTGCCGCAGAGTTTCGCCTTGCTACGAATTCGTTCGTTTATTCCTATTTTACGTCTAATATCAGGGAACAGGAAAATGATATATTCAATTACGCAATGTTTCCGCGAAGTCGACCGGGAAAAATTGGCAGATAATATTGCGCTTTTCCCGGAAGTATATCGAGTTATTACGAATTAACGTTGCCCGTTAATTTGTTTAACGCGTTAAACGTCACACAGATTTTACGTGCCGTTCCGTTCACGTCACAGTTAGCCGCCATGCGGGCCCTTCCGGGTCGTAGGGACCCAACGAGACCCGAACGGAAAATCTAGGGACCGGCATGGCGTTTAACACATTAAGGACCCAGCCTGGTTTGCTTGCCGTTCCGTTCAGGCCCAGATTCGGCCGTCAAATGGGTCACCGATGGCGGGCAAAGTGTTCATAAAACTCGGAGATACTGTACCAATTGTTGTAACACGAATTCCCAAATATTAGGTCCAAAGATGGCGAAGAATTAAACACCAAAAGTTAGCACCTTTTGGTCCTAGTCTGGGCTGGTCCCTAGGGACCGGCCGGGCCCGAATGGAAAGTCCGGCGCCGGTCCCCGGGGATCTAGCACTCAACGTGTTAAGGTATTAACCTTGGAATGGTGACCTACGTCGAATTGACTCCTAGTGCTAATGGTGATGTACGTCGGATTGACACCGTATCGATAGAGGTGACACGAAGTGGAGTACGAAATAATAGCGTCTTGACACATTTCGTACCGCATAGAAATCTCTCAGACATACGCCAAAGAATACACGTTGGTTTCCTTCCTTTTTCTGAGAGAGCACATTTTCAAAAGCGACAGGAACTTGAAGACGAAAACTATTTAAATGACTAAAATACAATGTAACTGTAATGCTTTATGAGTTCGTGCAATTATATAGTTTTTCGTAGATTGACAGTTTCCACCAATGAGGTCGCTTCATCCGATGTTGACAAGACAGCGTGTTGATGTCTAAGATCCATAACAGATGGCGCGCGAAACGCGAGGAAACTTATGAGCGATCCTCAGCAGATGGCGCGTGAAGACAGGAAAACTCGTGAGCGGTACGCAGTGTGATAACCCCTTTCCGAACTTTAACGAGTCTGACTCGTGATGAAGATTTCGGTCCAAATATGAATACCACGAGCTAGACTCGCGAACAGAAAGTCGGCCCGGATTTTTAAAGTTATAAGTATTAGATATTGATTCAAGGTGAGCATTTCTTATAATTAAATTTTTGTTTATAATATGCCATTTATTTTTAGGCGTAGTATTAATACATTCCTTGGAGCAAAGGCATATTTGAAGATGCTTGAATTTCTATTAAAGTATTGTTTATTAATGAAACAGTCATCTGCTATAAAATATAACATACTTATAATATTTACGTAAGATTGGAATGAGTGTGGCCTTGAAGGAGTGTCGGGAATGTTTGAACTTAGAACAAAGGTGACCGCGCGCAAGAGGATCGAATGGATGTGTATGACAGAGCCGAGTGCGATAGACGATTGGAAATTAGTTTACGAGTGCGGCATGTGTTTGAAGTACCTGGTCCACCGAGGCTGGGGGAAAGGGAAATGCATGATTGGGAAAGAAAGCCCGAGTGTGAAAAAGGACAGAATAAATGGTTGCAAGGGCGCGGGCGAGTTAGTCCAAGTCAAACAGTTCAGGCTAAGACAGTCCATCAGTCAGTCGAAGAATGTCGAAAGTCTAAGAGTTTGCAGTCAAAGGCAGTGTGTCAAAGTCTAAAGTCAGTTTAAGAAAGATCAGAGGAGCATGCCCATAGCGAATCTCTCTTGTCTCATAGCCAGCTGCTGTCATTATACTTATAAACTTATTTTATTCTATTAAGAAGCCAATAATACTATCTTAAGTCAACCCAAATGCCGATCTTACATTTATAAAAGGAGAAAGCATTACAGTTTACTCCCACAACATCAGTATTACGTAAAACTGACTATATTACAAGTATTTACATTTCGGCTTGTATCGCGACTTTCGAGCATCGATCTGGTCTGTTTACTGGGCACTGACGCCTACCGTTAGAATATCGTCAAGCTAAATGACACGAGAAGGGATTATACCTCCACCTAAGGATACGTTAAATTCAGCAGTATTACGTAAAACTGACTATATTACAAGTATTTACATTTCGGCTTGTATCACGACTTTCGAGCATCGATCTGGTCTGTTTACTGGGCACTGACGCCTACCGTTTGGGCCCGAATATCGTCAAGCTAAATGACACGAGAAGGGATTATACCTCCACCTAAGGATACGTTAAATTCCCGTCGTATCACTACTAGTGCTGTGAAAATAGTAGTCACCACTGGTAGGATAACCTCAGAAATCTTAAGACTAGACAACTTGGCAAGGTCTAGGGGTTTATGGGGCTGATATAATTGATCGTATCTCTTATTTACCTCTTTCTTAATGTACCATTGAGACTTATCGAAGACAGAAGCGATGAGGACACCCACGATGTCATCGGTTCCCTCTCTAAGAGCGCAGAAACCGATCATACTCTCCATCTGCTTGAAGACCATGTTCATGAACACCTTCATGGACACAGCATCGTCGTACAACCCGACAGCTGCGCACAGTGGTTCCGTGGAACAGTAATAGGTCTGAAACAAACGTAAATTGGATTGAAGTAATCGTCGTAAAGGACTCCGTGGAAACAGCGTCTCTTCGACGCGAACGATTTAAATAAAATAGGAGAAATCGTTCGGACGACCGGATTATTTTTCTTTCTAATAACGCGCATCGAACAATGACAACTTAAATGATCGTTTTCATAGTCATAGGTATCGTTTAACACGCTAAACGCCACGCCGGGCACCCAGGGATCGGCGCTAGACTCTGCGTTCAGGCCTCACCGATCCGTAAGGCCTGGGGAAGGGCCCGCATGACGGCTGACTATGGCGCGAACGGAACGACACCTAAAATCGGCGTGGCATTTAACGCGTTAAACGTGATAAACTGTACTTCGATCGACGATGTACTAGTACAAAGTTCAGCGACTGCATAAATCTGTTTAGCTGCAGATCGACGATTCGGTAACCACTCGATTTCCTCTCCCACACCATAGCTGCGTCTGTGCTGTGCAAGCCGTTATGAGGTCGTAGCTTCTTGATCGCCGAAACGCGAAAATTCAACGCGAGCATGTCGCTTTCCTTGATCGAGCTCCTTCTGTGAGTCCATCTCGTACTCCTCCTGGGCATATTGCTACGAATTTAAACGAACTACATCGACACTGGTCCGAGAAATATCAAGCACCCTTGATTTCGTATCGCATAATCGATATCTCCGATCACCAAATCTCCATAGATAATTTTGCATAACCCGACACGCGCCAGTTCTCTGAAATGCTTCGAAAGTCTGCGACAAATTCTGATTTCAAGTTGCTCGCTATCGAATGCAACAAAACTCGATACGAAATTCGCAGTTGAGAACACAGACACATTCGGGACTTAGGAGAAGTTTCGCGCACCCCTTTCGGTTCCACGCGAAATATCATGTTCCTGTCGCTCTTAACGATTCCCGAGATCTCTTTCATTCGCGACCACTGAAACACCGATCTCCGATATGGACGTGATCGAAGAGAAGGACGAGTTCGCGTTGGAAGCGGAAGCGCGAATGAAGGCACCCCTCGAATGGGACTCAACGGCCAAGTGCAAGATCCTGGACCTAAAGGAGTCACAGTACGACGAAGCTTTGCATCTGATCAAAGTTTAGCCAAGAAATAAAATCGCGAATACGTGACGCAGACTTTTCGTTAACCTTCCTAGCATCTTTCGCGATTCTCTATCCGAGACGACAGCTGAGATCGTAACGCGAACCGATTTTCGCAGCGTCACTTCTTCCGCGAGGATCCTATGTGCAAGTCGTCCTCGTTGCTCCAGGATCAAACATCCGTGAACGATTACCTGCAGCTTATAAGAACGTGGATGAAGGACACCACGAGCCTGGTCGCGACCAGTATTCTATCTGGTCGCGTGGTTGGAGTCGCTGTCATGCGAATCAACAGTGGCCCTGAGAAAACCGACACTTACAACCGTGTGCAGGTACGATCGCGATCGATTTCGAAAGGCAAAGCACGGCTGTGTGGATCATCGGTGGGCGCGGGAGCGGCGAAAATTGAATTTAGATTGAAAGAAAAACGATGAATTCTATGAGTTCGGCATCGGTCCCTGGGGACTGACACTGGACTTGGACATTTGGACAGCGTTAGTCCATTGGATTTTTCGTTTGAATAACGTCGATCCGTGGGACCAACATTGGACACTTTTAGTTTGGACAGCGTCTATCCGTTTGATTTTTCATTTGAATAACGTCAGTCCGCATCAAAGTTAAAAACTAAGTGTAGTCATTTTAATGATATTTATTGAAACGCTCTAAAGAAAAATACGGTTTGTATCTAGTGAAAAACTTTTTAAATCTAGTAAAAACCTTTTTAGTCAAATTTCTGGCTGTCTTGCATCCTAATAACGTTGAATTTTCGTCATCACGTCGGAAAGGACAGCAATATCAACACCGGACTCAACGTGTTAAGGAAATATTCGGTACCAGTCCCATTTTCTTCGTGAATCGAGTACTCCGACGTTACGATACTCTCGAATTTAACCCTTCGATGATGATGTCTGTGCACTTTGAAAAATCTTTCGGAATCCGTCCATTTACCAGATAGAAATTTCGTTAGCTGCAAGAACATATCCCGATTCAACCTGAAAACTTATACCACTCCAAATAGCGACTACGTGGAAGGAAATGATTTAATTACAGGCTGTCCTTGCGGGGTTAAAACTCGATCACGTATCTCTCCAGAGTAATAAATCTCGCGTATAAACGGAATTTCGACGTGGGGTATTAAACTGACCGTAGTTCGTGCGTAGTTTGAAATTAATTTTCATTGACGGCTGCAGCCATGTTAATGAAAGTCGATTGCTAGGAATATCAATGAGAAACGTAACGCACCAATCACCAACACGGTGTTCTTGTTCTTGCGTAACGAGAAATTGCTCGTGCTCGCTCGTCTACGATCGCGTCTAGATTTCTCACAACTAAACGACTAACTATGCGTAGAACCTGGCAACTGGAACAGCTCCAGGTGACGATAAACAGGTAAATTCTTGGTAAAAACGTCGCGAAGGAGAATCAACGAGAAAGCGTTATCCAAGGAATATTAATTTACGTTAAACCCGAGTTTGCATTCTGCAGATCCTGGAAGGCGACACTCTTAAGAAGATCATGCATCTGCAGAACGCGTTACTGATACAGGCAAACGCTCACGAAGTATTCGGATGCGAGGAATACTTCTGCATATACATTCTCTGCGTGCACCCGTCTTATCAAGAGAAAGGTGTCGAGTATGCGCTTCTGAACGCCAGCGTGCAGGTAGCAACGACCTTGAAAATGAGAGCGATCGGTGGCATTTTCACATGCGGCGTGAGCCAAACAAGAGCTCGCAGCGTGGGATTTCAGCTTCTCTCGGAAATCCGTTACAGTTTATGGACCATTAACGATCACACTGTCTTCGACGATCCAGGAAGAGGCAACTACTCGGCTGCTTTCATGGGTCAGCTGATACCGCTGGAAGAGGACGCTCAAGACGAATAAGTATCGTCTGTCGGTACCATCTCCGAGTATTTACACAGACTCGTTTTAAATTTCTAAATGAAACGTATGAACAAAAATGGCCGCTTGTACGAAGGATTAAATAAAGGCGAATAAATATCCCCTTGGGAGAGACTGGTTTCGTATGAAAAATGTAAAAATTCGAAATTATAAACGAGCTTCTCAGTACTCTGTTCAAGTCCTCTGTATTAATTATTGTATTAGGTATCCACGTTGAAACGAGTTGGAAATTTTGAAATATAATTTACGATTTCGTTCCGATTTAAATTGGCGATAATATTGACCGGCTCTGGGAATTTAACAACGTTTAAAACGACGGAGAAAAGATAAATTTCTAAAATTTTAGCTTAATCCAGAGACAAAGGTACGCTGCTTCGTTCACGATTTCGAAAGCAAAAATCTACATTACCAGCATACGATGACCGCGTGGATGAAACGACTATAAGGAACGATTCTTAGATGACGCCAGTGGTAGAACTCTGCCGTACCGACACCATTTTCCAAGAATTTCCCGAGTGTCCCCTTTGGACACCCTTTCTTCATTTATCCCCACCCTTGTGTTAGTTTCGAATTCAGCGTGCGAGGGATCGAGAGTTCACCCCACGTGAAGGGTGGCTTTGTGGAATGAAGTTCCACCCTATAGTATGGGGGAAACCATAATGCCGCCCAGGCAAAGCCGCGCCATTTTGTAAATCGAAGAACCAAAAGGGACGCGATGAAAAATCTCGACTTTTCGAAAGGTTTCCAGCAACGAGCTTATAGCCTTCGATTATTTCGATTCGTTACCAAAATTCCCCATAAAATGACACCCAATTCGCGCCTAACTGAACGGTATAATCGAAATCCATTCGCGGTTTCTGTAAACTCCAGGCGAATACCTTGATATTCGATTGGTTTCGTGAAATCGCGAGTGCTTCTTGAAAATTACTATCTCATTTTATCTGGAATCTCGGATAAAAATTATTAAAACTCGGAAAAGAATTGAAATCCCGTCGTCATTTTTCGTTTCACTGCTGATAATGGAGATTTGTATTAATCGATGTTTCCTTTCGTATTTCTCCTCTTATTTGTACTTTGATTGAGATATTGTATTCGAGAGAATGTATTCGATATCTTCGTATTTTCCACGAGATTAAGCAACAGCGATAAATTCCTGATATTCCCGAAGAATACGCGTTGTCGATTACGATTCGTTATTTCGGTTCATTTTCGAGCGTTTTTAAAGAAAAAAGTCGAAATTCGGGAAGAGCTATAAATAGGGAAGAAAGGAATATTGTTTGCAGTGAAATAACGAAATAAACCATGTCGCTTTCTGACGAAATATTTATCTTCCTATTTTCAGACGCGCTTATCTAACTATTCTTCGCTATTATACGAATATTTTGTAGCAGATCGCTTACATAATACCAAGCTTCGATTTACTATTATCACCCACTTTTACAGTGTTTTCTTATCGTTAACATTACAATCTTGCTTTATCTGGAATGAAATTACAACTGAATTATGTAGAACCAATTTTTCGTCGGTCTTTTCCTTAGCACGGTGTTATTATCGGATACTAAAAATTTGTAATATAGCAATTAAATAATTGCGATGCAAATATAATTCGCGAATTAGTTAAAAATAATTCTAAATTAACGGTGATAATTAATTAACGAATTTATACTTCGACACTGTATTTTTATCGTATAACGAATTACGCGAATCGATTATAGACGAATTTACTATCTTTTCTTTGTGAAAAGTCGATTAAATATTACCGGATGTTATAATTTTACGTATTTGTTGGGTATTTGTGTTAAATAATCAGTTGTAAATCTTATTATTCGTATTTTCTTGTCCCATACAGTGGCGCCGTCTACAGTTCGCAACTTTGCGAATCGTGCTTTCGTTACCGCCATTTTCTTTTAGCACGCAACTAGCCGCTTTTGAACTTTTCACGTCCGAGTTAAATACAGATACCTCGTGATTTTACGTATCAAGACGACATTTTCAATTTTGGATCAATTTTTATGAATTTGCGAGTCCAATAAATCGCATATATTTTCGACGTTTCATTACACGCATTCGTTATAATTTTAGTTCATTAGAACGAGGAAAAATGTCTATTCTGGGACAGTTTTCGATGACTATTTTCTCGCATTTCGCGTTGTTAAAACGTAATCTATGTTTTCATAACGAAAAATGAAAAATCTGACAAGTGTAAGAATTTTTCACAGCTGTAATATATCAACTTTTATATTACGGAGATGTTTTAAAAACAAAAATAGAACGAACAGATTTCTCACGAATATGTTGCAAAATTTTATGAATTATTTTCGCATAACCTTTTTCTATTATGCGATAGATCGATTATGAGAAACGAATAGACCACGTGTTTTGTCAAAATGGAAACGCACCTAAGAAAATATTATACAAACTTACGAAATATAAAATATTCAAGTGTGTTTTGATAAACTCTTTTCGTTGTGAACAAAATAATGCATATCTAAAAAATTATACGTAAAAATTAAAATAAACATTCTGATAATAATAGGAAACAATTAGAATATATATTCTATCGGAAAATATTTAAATTTTATGGAATTTCAAAGTGTTTTACGCTGTTTAAATTCTCCGGCAATTTTCTCTTCGAAATTTATAATGCTGTAATTAATGATTTAAATATTTATTACTGTATTCGTTAAATCTGTGTTGCACGAAGAAAATCGAAGATGGGAAAGCTAAGGTGTACAGTAAATACTCGAGAAAATGGCATAAATCTTCTAACAGTAATTACGTATTATTACATAAAATCTAATCACCTTTATTTTCTTCTAATTTTAATTATTATCCATCAGATTATTATAGTTGACTTTACATCGTATAACTTACGCTATCTAGAATCTTTTCCCAGTGTAAAAACTACATTCCTCAATTTCCTCTTCAAAATCGAATGAAATAAAAATAGAAGTTGCTCGACGTTTGCTTCAAATATAAAAAATCAAGTAAATATTTAAACAATTTATAATATTAATATTAAATACTAATATTAATATTAAATATTAAATATTAGATATTTAACCCTTTGCACTCGACGATTTTTTGGCTAGAGGAAAGTAGAAATTCAAAGATTTTCTACTAAACAACTAACGATACTTTTTTGAACAGTAAAGAAAGAATTGTATAATAACAGAATTGTAGAATTATTTGACTTCGACACTTCGCACACTGTTACATTACATTAAATTTGATATATTAATTAATATCGAGTTTCCAAATTTTATGAAACGGTGACTGAAGCTCACCTCTCGAGTGCAAAAGGTTAAATTAAAAAATCAAATAAATATTGCATCAATGAAATTTTTATCTTTAACAAAAGATAGGAATGTTTCCGACAACCCCAACTCCGAAAAATATAACAATGTAAAATGAATGAAACATTCGTAAATCAAATTCCTCCTAGTCAAAAAGTTTCTTCGTGAAATCTTAGATTCCCTTTGCATGGACAACTGCTGGACACCCTATTTAACTCGGAGAAAAATTCCAAAGAGAATCTCGCTTCAATTCGAAGAAAGAATATGATTCTACCGACAATGAAGGTTAACTAAGGGCCCGTAGCCAGCAGTTATTAAGACTCGTAGCATTCTAAAACTCCTTCACTGAAACTTTTCCCGATCACCCAGACAGCCATTGTAAAAATAAGACTTCGGTATCTTACATCGCGTGAAATTTCTACAAAATTTTGACCGCCACAGATGATTCCGAGAAAAATTATCAAAGTACGAAATACAGTCAAAATGTTCCAATAATTGCGAATAATAATTCAACAAATACCTTATGTTTAATTAAAAAAAAAAAAAGAAGAATTTTCTTCCATTTCTCTTCTCTTTTTATTAAGAAAGTCATTTTTCAGGTACTTTGTGCATTCAACATAGGATGCCTTGCACATGTAAATTTTAATAATAATTTCTTCAAGGACCAATTATTTTTAATGCTAGGTTTACGGACGCCTTTTGTATATTTTTACACGCACAAATGAAACGAGACAAGTTGTTTGAAACGCAACTTGAAAAACAACATAATTATACCCTGTTATACCGCATAAATGAAAATACAATATATATATATTTACATGAAATTTATAATATTTGTAAAGATTGTTTTTATTCAAATGTAATTTCCTGTAATTTTCCTCGTGAAATTTCAAGTACGTCAAAATGACGTGCTCCATAAACCTGATGTTAAGTTAACGTTACAATAATTTCAAAGCAGTGATTATGAAGTAGAATAAACTGCTACGAGATTTCTTTTTCATCGATAGATTCGAGGGATTCCATGACGATTTGTTCTCCAACTGATACTAATTTTCTTTTCACTTATAAAAATCATAATTTCGAAGGAACTAGAGGTGCACATAGATGCCAGTATTCCTGAAGAGGTTAATTTGAAATTTTACATTTCGGAAATTCTTCTCGTTCCTATTCATTTGCGCTTGCAGCAGAGATTTAAAGTTAAAGAAAAGTTAAAGTTAAAGAAAATTAGCAAACGTAGAATAATTAAAAGGAACGTGATCAAATGGACGCGAGTTTCTTTCACCACGTGTTCGTCTCCTTCGTCTTCCACGTCGCGTAATTTTCAGTTCTTCCTTTTTACCGGTGAAAACTGTCTTTTCTTTTCACATATAATAATCATAATTTCGAAGAAACTAGAGGTGCACATAGATGCCAGTATTCCTGAAGAGGTTAATTTGAAATTTTACATTTGGGAAATTCTTCTCGTTCCTATTCATTTGCGTGTGCGACAGCGATTTAAAGAAAATTGGCAAACAGGGGAATAATTAAAAGGTGCGTGATCAAACGGACGCGAGTTTCCTTCACCACGTATACGTCTCCTTCGGTTTCCACGTCGCGTAATTTTCCATTGCTCCTTTTCACAGGTGAAAACTGTCAGCCTCTGTTCCATCAATAGAAGGGCCGCTCTTTATCTATCTCGCAGCGTCT